CGAGCGCACAGCCCGGGAGGCGCCCGGGGGAGGAAGTTGGGTTGGAAGGAGGAACGACAGCAGTTTTCTTTTTAGTGACTGGGAGAACAGGAGATGCAGAACACCCCCAAAACTTTGCATTTAGTAGGGGCCCTAGGTTCCCAAAGCAGAACGTCGCTCGCGCGGGCCCCCGGGGCCCCGGAGTTCTCCGTCTGCGCTGCGGGCGTCGGTGCGAAGGCTGCGCGCCCGGCGCCCGGAAGAGGCGCGGCTCGACCGTGGGCATCCGACTGGGCACCCAGGCCGGGGCTGCCGGGCGCCTTGCAGCCGAAATGGGGGCCCGCGAGGGAGCGTGAACATCAGGGTGGGGAAGGGCGCCTCTGTAGTTCGCGCCAGCGAGGCGCTGGCTTTACGCACAAAGGGTTCGTCTCGGCTGTCGTTCTGGACCAGCCTGAGCTGCAGTTTGAGGCAACCCGGTAGGACCAGAAAACCCACGGTGAAGACGAAGCCATGCCCTTGATGCCAACCTTTTGCTTGGTAATCATAGCTACACCTCTGTGAGCGCTTAATGTGGGTCCAGGTCTGTGTCCGCCCCGCTCTGTGAACTGCCCCTTCAGCTTTAGGACAACTCTGTGAGACACCTATTGCCACGGCCACTTCACAGAGGAGCGAGCTGAAGCCAGGAGCTGCTGGGTAACTTGCCCCAGGTTGCACAGTGGGTGATGAAGAATCCGGGTTTGCCAGACTCTGGGGTTGGGAGGCTTTTCTGCTGTCCCCCACTTCAGGAGTGACTTCTGCGTAGTAAGAGCCTGTACGTGTCAGTCCCCACACGCTTTCCACCTAATACCATTTTATGAGGGACACTGTGGTTAGAGGATGGGCCTGGATCCAGACTGGCTGGGTCCCGAATGGCATCCCCACCACTGAGGAACCTCTCCATGTCTATGCAGGTTAAGGATGGACACAATGGAATGACCCTGGCTGCCCCTCTTTGAGCATTTAATGGGAGCTGGTTTCCCATCCATCAGGTTATGCAAATCATTGCATGTAATATTTAGGACAACCCTAATCAAGTAGAACTTCGTACGGTTATTGTAAGGAGCTTGTGTGAGTGTTAGTGGTCATGGAAACATTCGCCGTGTGGTTTGTGGGTCAAAGCAGTGCCTTGTGGGTGTTCATTTTAGCCATTGGCTGCAGCTGGATGCGCACAGACCTGTGGAGCAGCCGTCAGAGCCTGCACGCTGGAGTTCAGCTCCTGGTTCCCACCCCGACTGTCATCTAGTGACTTTGGGCAAATTACTCCACCTCGGAGCCAACTGCTAAATTATTGGGGAAATCGGGAGCTGGTTGCAAAACCATACCTGGCTTGAAATGGGCTATTGTTGGTAAAATTTATACCGGCAATATAAAATTGACAAGTGCTAAAAATCAAGCTTTTTTTGGTTTGTTTTTTATTTGCCCTAGGAAAGCTGGTTTGTCAGTGTACCTCTGCGTCAATCTCCCCATCTGTAAAGTGGGTTTCATAGAGTTGTGGGATTAAATACACTAAAGCATCTGAAGCCCCTAGTACGATGCCTGGTGCTCACTTATGATTAGCTCTTACCTTTCCTCCGTGTTGCTATTATCACAGAGCTGCTGTGAACATCCCTGCACAGGTTTTTCATTGCTTTGGATCATTTTGGGTTTGAAGTCTTCCAAACAGAATGACTGAATTATGACACAGATGTGGTTTTAGGGTACTGCTGCATGTGGGCAGCTTGCACCCCAGAAAGATTGGGGGCAGTTTTCAGGACACCGGTGGAGTGTACTTCTTTCAGGACAACACACCTGAAGCCTGATGAAATGTGTTTAAGTCGCTGGTAGAAAGATCAGCAGCTAAAAATCATGATTGGTACTGGATGCCTGGTGTTCAAGGGCCCAATTTCCTTATGATTTTTAGGCTTAAAGTCTGCCCCCCGATGGGAAAGGACAAATTAGATTTTGCCAGCTTGTTCGTCAGCCAGCAGGGAGGAAAGAAGGAGCCACTGAGAAAGGGGGAGTGTGGGTCCCCGAGGCAGAGGTACCACGGAGCCACCCATGTGATCCATGGGACCCTGTACTGACTATTTTATTTTTATTTTTTTTATTCTGAAATAATCTGCTTAAAGTGGCCCCACAAAAGCAGGATCGGCCCCAGCAGGACCCCTGATTTGGATCTGGCTGCAGTCCTGTCTCCCAGCTCCTTTTACGTTAGACTTTTCAACAAAATGTTATTGGAGACAATGTCTTTAAGTGGAGGATTTGGCGTCCCAGCCTCTAATCCCAAGGTTCCAAGTGCCATTCCCATATTCCCCTTCCTGAGGTTTCTCAAAATGTGTCCAACTACCACATGGGGGTAGAGGGAGAAGGAGCTTGATAAAATGCCGCTTTCCAGGCCACACCCCAGACCCTTCCATTCAGTCCTGGGGACCCAGGCTGGAGGGAGAGTGGCTGCATTTCCACAGTGCCCCAGGTGATTCTCTTGTCATTGAAGTGTGAAGACTCCTGAAGGACTCTGCTCACCCCCTGCCCCCCACAGCCGCCAGCAATGTTGATGGTAACTGCAGTGCTGCTTAGTTGAAACACAAAGCCAAAAGCCAAAGCCACAGACCTGCAACCAGACGGAGACTCATCAGGGGAATCCCCACCTGCCAGCCACGCCTCAGCCC